CCTTGACGTGGCTGTGCGGCTTTCACATTTTCTGCAGAAGACGTGTATCTAAACCTCTGCTTTTAACCTTAGCGGTTAGACAGGTTTTTTTGCATGCTGGCTGGTGAGTGTGCTGGGAAACTTTTTGCTGTTGTAATCAATCCCAAACCCAATCAAGAGACATGGGCCACCAGAGAGGTAAGTCTACTACCTCTTCTCTTGGAGGGGAGTGCCGGTTTGATCTATTTAGAAACCAGACAGGGTCTGTTTAAAAGGTATCAACAATTATTAGGTTTTGTTTTGTAACATTTTATTCCTGAACATAATACATAAATATAGAATCTTTATGGGAACTATCCTTAATACATGGATACACTTAAGAAACATCATTGATCTGTATGCAGAGGCAATTCATTAACAAGTCAGATTAAACTATAGGCTTAGTTAACTAAGCTATAACTGATGTATTACTTGCTGTCGCAATCTCATTTTTCAGCCATGTGGCTGATGTTTCCAGTACACATTTGCTCTCATTGTTTAATAAGGGTCATTATGGCAAATAACGATCGTTATCAATCAGAGCAATTGGCTATATATCTGCACATCGTCAAGCACTTTAGACTCTGCAGTGAACTATGATAAACTGTATATTATCTCCTGAAGTGTCACTTTCGGGTCCAGGATTATATAAAGGCCACTTGGTTCAGAGTCAAGCACAACAAAACATGCGTCATTATAACTGAGTCTACTTAAGTCTTAAAGTTGTATTCTACATTTTGCAAAACAATAATAAATATACCCATATTGCAAAAATAAAAAATGTGCATTTATTAATTTTGCATTGGAGCCTACAAAGCATTTGCAACTGCGATCAGTGGATAATGGGTGCAATGCCCAGGCTCCTGCAGACTCCTCCTTTCAGGCCCAGGTCCATACCACGGTACGGACCTTAGGTTATGAAGCTGGAGGAAGTTATCAATGGACTACAAGAGTGGGGACGTCACCAAACTTGTACCCCATTGAAAACTATGAGACCTTCTGTAGACGTTTGTCATGTTCACCTGGATTTGTTCTGAAATGTTAGAGACATTTCACAGTTTTTAGCAGTTTGATGTATTTTTCAGACACATATTACACCTGAAGAAATGGCTTGGATAAGCTGCAAAATGTCTTCAGCATTATAGAATAAGTCCAACTGAATGATACATATTTCTACTAGATGTAACATTTAGATATTCCCTATGTAGCACCCCCCTGACCCCCAAGGGCATGTGAGGGACCCCAGATGCAGGGTAGGCTAGCATTTCACCTCAGGGTCTAATCATTAGCAATAGTGGAGCAATGTGAACAGATGGGCGCCAGTTACTTTTAATGCAAAAAACATTTATTGACTCCCACTCAACACTCCTGGGAGAGAGGGTTGGGGCACATGACACATTTGAATAAAAAATCACAGACAGATACTCTTTGAGCTGACCCAACAGTCTGTGGCAAGAGCCTCTGGCTGTAAGGTTCTGGATATTGCAGCTACCAACTCCCTGGGGAGAAATCACTATACTTTAGTCAAGGCCCAAGCTTCTACCCAGCTTCTCGTTTAGGCAAAATTTCCTCCACGGCAACTCCATCCCCAGACTTAACACACCAGACCTTGGACCCAAGCTTCAGTTCAGGTACATGGTCACCCTCCTAAAGCAGCAGGCCTAGAAGAATCAGACATACAACTGCAGCCCTAACCCAGGCAGGAGGCCCGGGGGGGAAGAAGAATCCCCAAGGTCACTTCTGAATAGTTACACTCTCTCCCAGAATGCATTACTGGCCATAAACTGCCTAGTGGTTGGCCAGGGAAACCTAAATATTCCTAACTCGGCATAGTGCAGCCTCCCACCCTATTGCCAGGGACACTCCCCATTAACAGGCAGAAGCAAACAATAACCAGAGCTTAGGAGAGAAAAGCCAAACTATCAATCAGAATCAGTCTACAGACTACAGCCTGACAACTTCTAAATTAAAATAAACACTCCCGGTTAGGGTAGGCCGGCTACACCGACTTCATGGTTTGATGGGACAATCAGCCATTAAAACCCAACAGTTATACCTCTCTACCACTCTGTCCAAAAACGGTTGTGCCGGGTTCTTGTCTAAGTTCTCAGCAATGGACAATAGTTTTGGTTGCTGTGACTGCAATCCTCAAACTCAAAGTGTCACTAGCACACCATAAAGTATAAAAGGGGACATTTATTTGTCGCCACTAAAGTGCAAAGTGCAACCTTTCATGGACACTAAGTAACTCTTCTAGGAAATAGTGACACCATTGCCTTAGCTATAAAAAAAATAATGGTCATATTTAAAATGTCTATGTGCAATAAAGATTGTGGGTAATGGTAAAATAAGTCACTTTGTGACATGGCTTCCTTTTATCAACGGAGGAATGCTCATCCATTCCAGGAATCTATGAATTCATGCTGCAACCTTCGATTGGAGGCTGCCTGTCTCTGGACGTAGATTCCTGAAACAAATGAGCATTTCCCCTTACAAGGTGGGAGTTCTCCTCTCTTTTGCCTTCTTGGTATTTCCAGGCGCTTCCCATTGTGGCATCTCTGTGGTGATTTTGTATTGCTTCCCTCCAAGGTATGGATCCTTTCACTATTTGATGCAAATGTTGACTAGTTTTTCAAAGTTACCTCCCCTTCCTGAAGAAGAGTAAAAGAAACGCATAGAAGACTGGGCCACTCCACACGTTTGTGACCAATGAATCATGTACATACAGCTAATCCATGATATGACAAATCTGTCTTTAAATTAATGTTGAGGCCCAGGAAGTATTCCTTGTCATAAAGACAAGAAATATTTTACAAAAATTAGCAG